AACCCGGGCCGCTGCAGCAACTATCCAACTATCTAACTATGACGACAATAATACTGAGCACAAGGAAGTACAGGACCATGTACTTCCGAGTATAATAGCAAAGTAAAGCAACAGGGCTACATACAGGCTCAGGAATGTGGCATGCCTTCCATGTAGGAGATGACACTTTGGATGAATGACAAAGGGTAGGGTGAGTCCACAACTGTGTGAGTCAGTCCACAACTGTGTGTGAGCCCAAATGGTTTGGTTATGCCACCATTTACATCTCCCCAGAAGCTCCTTTTGGCCATAAACTGCCGGAGGAAACATCCCACCACCCCATGAGCAGCAGATTTGGAGTGACAGGATCCATATACGCACTGTCAGATGATGCATAACACCAAAAGGCTTAGAATTCGGAATCCCCTCCATTTCAATGGATGCTAAGGAAAACTTCCTCTGACACAACCTGACATTTCCTTGTCTAAAATCTGTACCATAATTACTTTGAAGCAAGACTTTCCTTGCTGTTAGATGAAGTGATGAAAGGCCATAAGAAATTAGTTTGTGTCTATGCTAGCTAGCAGTGCCAAGCGAAGACATCTGGGATAATGATAAGGGATCATATCTGAGGGATCCGGTTACTCATGACAAATGTCCTGACAATGAGACAGTCTTCAATAATCACCCTGAAAGATCTCTCTGCAAGGTATGGGGAAAACAAATGTCAAAGTGTTAAACAGTGTCAAAGGCGGCGGACAAGTCTAACAATACTAAAATGGAATGATGGCCTTATTCGGCATTCATAAGAATATCATTGACTGAATATAGAACTGGCAAATACCTGATTAAAATGGATTAAGGATGTTATTAACTTCAACTATTTCTAATAGATTTTTGGTAACCATTTTTTCAGTGATTTTTGGGGCAATAAAGGGCAATTTAGAGATTGATCTGTAATTGTGAGGACTGTTCAGGACCAGGTGTTTGCCAGGCCGCCGCCGAAGAACCAGAACTAGAAGTTGGCTGGTCTACAGATGGGGAACCAGGAACAGGTGTCTGCCATTGAAGTAAAACAAGACCATCGTCGAGGAACGAGTTGCAGGCATCGGCCATACTGCTGACGGGGAACCAGAAGAAGGTGTCGCCCAGACCGCTGTCAGGGAACCAGAAACACATGACAGCTCAGTAGTGCCTGGCAGCACCTTGGCCAAAGAGCTAGGCAGCTGAGACTCTGTGGCACTGGGCAGCTATGTATCTGGAGCACTGGAGAGCTGAGCCTGCCAGGGGTGTTGGAAGCCATGACGACTGTGAGGGACCAAGCAGTTAGGCATGAGGAGTCACAAGAGAATTTCCAAAAAAGGTTTTTATTTTACCAAAAATAATCATAACAAAATAAAGATAAAGTT